AGAAATATTTTTGAGGGGGTTGCCACCTATTTAAAAATTGTAACTTAGTTAAATTGATAAAGTAAATGAAATATTGCCACGTGGGTGTCAAACTAAAGAGTTTTAAGAAGGCTACAGCTGCAAATACGTTTGAGGAGGGTTGCCCCCTATTTGAAAATTTAACTCAATTTAATTGATACAATAAATGACATATTACAATATAGGTATCAAATTAAAGGTATTTAAGAAAGATGATTGTTGGAAATATTTTCGGTGAGGTTTGCCACATATTTTAAAATTTTAAAATAAAATAAATGGAATATTGCAATGTGCGTTTCAAACTAAATGTTTTTGAAGAGGGTTGCCACCTTTTTGAAAATGTAACTCATTTAAACCGATAAAATAAATTAAAAATTGCAATATTGGTACCAAACGAAAGGTATTTGAGAAATTTTGATTTGGAAGTATTTTAAATAGGATTATAACCTATCTAAAAGTAAAGACTAAAAATATTGAATTTTTACGAAATATTACATAATTGGTACCAAACTAAATGTGTTTGGGAAAGGTTTACTAGAAATTTTTTGTAATGTTTTCACCTATGCAAAGGCCAAACAATTTAAATGAAGAAAGAATTAACAACATAGTTATTATCAAACGACGTGATCATATTATCAACGAAATCTATATATATAAAAATGTTGTGTTCGTATGTCACGGTCGTCAAAACTCGAGAACGGCTGAACCGATTTGAAACATTTTTATTTTATATTGTTTGGTATAATACCAGAACCAATGGTGTCGCAAAAAACTGGAGGGTTGCCACCTATTTGAAATTTTTTAAACCCAATTATATTAATTTAATTAAAGCAAGTTAATTATTACTATATGGGTTCAAATTAAAGAGGTTTAAGAAAGATAACTATTGGAAATATTTTTGAGGAGGGTTGCCACCTATTTTAAAATTTTGGCTCAGTTAAATTGATAAAGAAAATGAAATATTGCTAGGTGGGTATCAAACTAAAGAGTTTTAAGAAGGCTTACAGTCAAATATATTTTTGAGGAGGGTTGCCACCTGTTTGAAAACTAAACTAAATTACATTGATAAAATAAATGAAATAGTACAATATGGGTATCAAATTAAAGAAGTTTAAGAAAGATAACTGTTGGAAATATTTTTTAGGAGGGTTGGCACCTATTTTCAAATTTGAACTCAGTTAAATTGATTATATAAATGAAATATTGCAATGAGGGTATAAAACTAAAGAGCTTATAAAATATCTACAGTAGAAAATATGTTTGAGGGGGTTTGCCACCTGTTTGAAAATTTAACTCAATTAAATTGGTATAATAGATGAAATGTTACAATATCGGTAACAAACTAAAGGCATTTGAGAAATCTTTATTTATAAATCTATATATATATATACAAAGATATTTAAGAAGGCTTACAGCAGAAAATATGTTTGAGGTGTAATATGGGTGCCAAACGAAAGGTATTTGAAAAATCTTGATTTGGAAATATTTTTAATAGGATTATCACCTATCTAAAAGTAAAGACTGAAAATATTGAAATTAAATGAAATATTACATAACTGCTTCCAAACGAAAAGTGTTTGGGAAAGCTTTACTAGGGAACTTTTTTAAATCTTTCCACTTATTCAAAATCGGACTGTTTAAATAAATATAGAATTTACAACATCTTATCAAACGAAGTGATCATATTATCACCGAAGTGCTGGTACACAAATTACTTAATGTAAAAAATTAATAAACTAGTAATTTTTAAGCAAAAAACACAACCGACATCAATTCTCATAAAAAATTTACTAGTACCGTTAATTTTTTCTTGATCCAATGATCGGATCTAAACCAAATTAGTATGGGATCACCTGGAAATCAGTTGACGTGGTCCAAAGTTATGCGGTAACAAACATAAAAAATAATAATCCGACGAATTGATAACCTTCTCCTTTTTTTTAAGTCTGCTAAAAACTACCGAAACAAATAACAAAATGATAAAAGAGTAACGAAAATAAAAAAAAACTATCGTATGAAAGCAGTTTAAAAAATACTTAATGAAAACTTAAAACTGTTGACAACATTCCCCAGCATTATAAATCAGTTAACTTTTAATCGTAAACAATTTATTTCGTTTGGGGTCGCCATTGCCTACTACGTATATTGCGAGTAAAAAAATGTTGAATAACTTGAGATAATATTATTATGATTATGATTATCATTACTATTGTGAACTCCTATTCCCGACCAAAGAACGATCGCATGATGCAAATGTTAAGATAATAAGAGCTGCAGAACTAATGCATGCAGGAACATTTTTTTACAACGGCGTGGAATTTCTGGCGTTTGCCGATGGCATCGACATCATCGGTAACAAAAATCGCGAAGTCTCTTCTGTCTTTTCCAAACTGGATAAGGAAGTAAAGCGAATGCGCCTGGTGGACGAGGACAAGACGAAGTATCTCCTGATATAAAAACCAGGCAGGGCATTCGCGCCTTGGAACCCAAGTCACTATTGACAGCTATAAGTTCGGGAAAGTGGAGAATTTTGTGTACTAGGGAACCAGCATTATCACAGATACAAATATCAGCATGGAAAACCCACACAGAATCACTCTTGCAAACAAGTGCTACTTTGGACTGAGTAGGCAATTCGGGAGTAAAGTACTCTCTCGACGTATAAAAAACCGCACTCTATAAGTCACTCATCATGCCCGAGCTGTTATATGGCGCAGAAGCTTAGACAATGACAACATTCGATGAGACGTCTCTTAGAGTATTCGACAAAAAGATCTTACGGAAGATTTACAGGCTTTTACGCGTGGGCGACGGAGATTACCGTATACGATGGACCGATGAGTTGTATGAGACTTAAAACGAAATAGGCATAGTGCAGGGAATGAAAATGCAGGGGCTCCGCTTGCTTAGACATGTCGTTCCAATAGGAACCGAAGTTCCAGGTGTGAAAGAATTCAACTCGCAATCCGCTGGTGGTAGCAGAGGAATAGGGAGCCCCCGCTGCAATGGAGAGACCAAGTTGGCACAGACAGAAATTGACCGGCGTTCTTTGTCGAGCTCGGCCAAAATGGCTTAGGCGGTTACAAAGCCAAAGTAGAAGAAGAATATGCAAATGATAAATGGCGGAGTTGGGAGAGGATACGCCAGGTGGTACTTATCAGATGGATTCTGGCAACGGTTCGATCAAAAAATTGCATTACCTTAGCTATCACTTCGTCTGGAATTGCTGCGACATTGTTACCAGGTGGGAGCATTGCCAATTCAGCTCTTGAGCTGCCATTGAACATATAAATCATCGAAACTCCCACATGCAATATTTCCAGGGCAACCGGTGCACATAAAAAATCGCTTAAGGTCGTTGATCGATTGTTGTGAAATTTGCATGGAAACGTTCAACCATTCGGGAATGCATTGATATTGCTCGCAGGAGATTTTACGCAAACATTGTCTGTAGTTCCCCGATTAACACTAGCGGACGAGATAAATGCTTGCCTGAAATAGTCAACATTGCGACAAGACGAACATACATACACTGCAGCTGAAGTATTCGCGCGACAATAACTGGACACTGGGAACGCAAAGCTGCCAGTCAATGAGAGATTAAGACAAATTTTATGGCCTGATAATTTTTGTAACTTAGAAACATCGAAAGGAGAACTGATCGAAAGAATGTTTCTTTATTAAGAAAATTAATTATAGGAATCTCGATTGGCTCAATGAACGGGCTATTCTTGCTGCGAAGAATAAGGATGTCTATCAACTAAATAATAGTGGTATTGAAAACAGTCGTTGCCTGAGCTGATCTGCCATTTTACCAGACTGCCAGGCCACTTGCTCACGTTGGTGAATACCACTAATATCATTCAATCCAGCATTCAACGTGAGGAAATAGCACATACGTCGATAAACACCGTTGTGGAAAAAGACCATCCCACGGAATTTTTGAACTCGGTTGATCTTCCTGGTAGACTCCACATACTGAAATTGAAAAGAGGTGTGCCAATTATCATGTTGCGGAATAATAATCGGCCAAAACTTTGCAACGGCAGGCGACTCGCACTAAAGAAATTGATGAAGAAAGTAGTGTAAGTAAAGATTTTAACGTGGCCTTTCAAAGGTGAAGAATTCCCATGATTCCGACCGATACACCATTTCAATTTAAAAGATTGCAATTCCCAATTCGATTGACATTCGGAATCACAATCAATAATGCTCCTGTCGAACTTTGGAAAAGCAAATCAGATATCCTTGATATCTATGCAGCGAATGGAAAAACAATAAATATTGTGTGCACACAAGTATTTATTACATAACCAAACACATATGAAACGTATGCATTGTTTCGTTAATAATTTATCATCCATATAACAGGAATACGCCACAGCAAAGCGTGGCAGGGTACAGCTAGTATAAAATACATGGAAAACTTTGAGTGCTTTGAGCGACCCGTAAATATTTTTTGATTTCCAAATATGAACAATCTTTTCGGTGTAGTACAATCTCAATACACATAAGTTGCGTTCCAGACGCTTCACGATTTGGAGGTTTTTACATGAAGTCGTTCCTGGTGACCACCTTCCATAAGGTTTATTAATGGAGAAAAGAGCTGTTACTGCAAATCGTGAATATCGTGAAGCATCTGGAATGCAACTATAGATGGATATGTTTTCATTGAATTTATATGAATATTAATTGTAATTGATATATTAATCACTTTATTGTTAATGTAAATGACGTATAAATTTATTAAATTGTTAGCAATTGTCTGAAAATAATAAAAAGTTAACTAAATCGTGAGCTACTTTTTAGGTACATTTCGACGCTGCGCCAACAAATACAGTTATGCGTTTTTTACTAGCTTTTCAGGAGAGCAAAGAAACTGATTATTGGTGCCAATAGGTAATATTTTGCAAATGTATTAAAAAAAAAATTATATTAAAAATATGTGATATATTTATGAAATAAAATCAATTTTCTTTGACGTGAACAACATTTGCGCCGCTTTAAAGCACATAACTGTTTTTATACACGATTTAAATTTGCTTTTGGCGGTATGG